TTTTTATTATAATTTTCATAAACAAAAATTTTAATCTTCTAGAAAGTTTTATAATATAAACTTGGACATTGCTACATTCAAAATACAAATATTATTATTGAGTATATATTTTATAATTTATAGGAATAGATTAATTGTATGGAGCTTTCTTCAACTTGAGCATTTGAATTATGCAATGTACCTTAAAACCACAAGAAAGAAAACATGGTAAGAACTTAAAAAGACAAAAGACACTGAAATTTTAAATTATATAAGGAAAAAAAAAAATACTCACGAGCATTAATTACATAAAATAAATAATTCAAATTCTGATATATATATATATATATTTACTGATTAACATATGAAAATTTGAAAATACTAAATTCAATTACAATTATATATAATTACTTTTAAAATTGCTTGTACATCCACTTTTTTGAATAATTACCCCCTAATTTTTAGTAAATTAAGTATTAAAAAAGGCATGTTTTGGTAAGTTTAATATATTAACTATAAAATTTAAATGATTATTAACTATAAAAAAATCAGAAGATTCCCTTCTACTACTCGCCGCTATTTTCCTTCCGCCTACTCTCTTCCTTTCTTTTTCTGCTTCACACTTGCGTCTCCACTCTGTTGTCTGTACAGTTCTGGGGACTGACAAATCTCGCTCCTTTTCACATTTTATCCCCAAAATTCTCCTCTCCATTATCTCCCTTCCCGTAAACCCCAGCTGCTTGCTGGTCTCAGCTTCTCACCACTCACCACTAACTGTTTTGTATTCATGGGTTTCACTACGTTCCACTACTCTGCTTCACTTCTTCTCCTTTCAGGCACTGATGCACTCTGTTTCCCTCCTTTTCTTTCAGTACCCAGTTTTTTATTTGGGTAATTGATGGGGATTTTTGTTATGTTGTTGCAGGTCTAGTGTTTCCACTGCTGGTGGCTTCAATTGGGATCAATTATGGCCAAATCGCTAACAATCTCCCGTCGCCGGAGAACGTTGTACCGCTAGTGAAATCTATCGGAGCCAAGAGGGTGAAGCTCTACGACGCGGATCCTAAGGTGCTTCGCGCATTTGCCAACTCCGGTGTGGAGTTCATTGTAGGACTTGGAAACGAGTACTTGGCAAAAATGGGAGATCCCGACAAAGCTAAAGCCTGGGTTAAGCAAAATGTGCAGGCCTACTTGCCGGCGACGAACATCACCTGCATCACCATCGGCAACGAGGTGCTTACTTTCAACGACACTTCACTCAGCAACCACCTCCTCCCGGCGATGCAGAGCGTGCAAGCCGCGCTCGTCGATCTGGGTCTGAACAATCAAGTAACTGTCACTACCCCTCATTCTTTAGCTATTTTGGAGAAGTCGTATCCGCCGTCCGCGGGAGCTTTCCGGCGAGATCTGGTGAACTGCTTGACTCCGATCTTGAATTTCCACGCCAAGACGGGATCTCCATTTCTCATCAATGCCTACCCTTTCTTCGCCTACAAGGCTAATCCGAAGCAGGTTCCTCTGGACTTCGTGCTCTTCCAACCGAACCAAGGCATCGTGGATCCCGGCACGAATCTCCGGTACGAGAATATGCTGTTCGCTCAGATAGACGCCGTGCACTCGGCTTTGGCGGCGGTGGGCTACAAGAAACTAGCGATTCATATATCGGAGACAGGGTGGCCGTCGAAGGGAGACGAAGATGAGGTCGGCGCGACTTGCGAAAACGCCAAGAAGTACAACGGAAACTTGATGAAGGTCATCGGAAATAGCACCGGGACTCCCTTGAGACCCAACTGCGGTCTCAACATTTACGTTTTCGCTTTGTTTAATGAGAACATGAAGCCCGGTCCTACCTCCGAGAGAAACTACGGCCTGTTCAAGCCCGACAGTACGCCGGCTTATCCGCTGGGGTTTGCGCTTACCAATGTCGGTCCCGGAAAGGCTAACGAAACTTCCGGCGGGAATGATGACGGTCCGCCGTCAGCTCCCAAGAGCTCTTCCAATGGTTATTTGTCCATTTCCCCTGCCGCGGTGAGCTTTTCCTTTTTCTTTTTTAATTTTTTATGGTGCAAGTTTTAAAGTAACAGGGCCGTTTGTCACCACTGGCATGTGAGTGGTCCCACTTTGATGGATTACTTTTGATTTTTTTTCCCCCACCTTGGGTTTTACGCAATGACGATGACTGACAACTAGGTTTGGAACGGTGTCGTTTCGTATAATCTAATTAATGGGGGATTTTTTTTTTTTTTTTTGGGTCCTTTCCTTTTTTGTTGTTGTCTTTTCTAATTGAAGCCATTTAATTAAAGTAATCATTAGATTAGTAATGGAGAGGTTCCATTAAAATGGAAGCGTAAGAAAGGATTATGAGCGTGTTTTTTGTATGACTGCAGAGGAGACGTGAAGTTAAAAGCGGTGTCGTGCTGTGTACGTTGTTGTGCGTTGTGAAGCTCCTCCTCCAAAGCTTGTATTGAGTGGTGAGATTTCTGTTTTCTAAAGGAAAGAAGATGAAATCAACTGTTAAAAGGGAGGAATAAGAGGAAAGATTGGGTAGTGGAAAAAGGTAACTTTATACCTAATCTCTGTTTTTTTCTTTTTTGTATGAAATTCATCAAGTGGGGATTACTGGAAAAAATTTGTTTTGCTTGAGGAATACATATTCGTTGAGGTATTATTATTACAGGAGAAACTAGAAAGCAATTTGTATGACAGAGAATGTACAAAATGATTTTTGTAGAATTTGTTGGTGGGGGCCATTTGGGTATAAAACTTTGACAATTATTAGGGTGAGTTTTGCTGCTTTTTAGTTGGCAATGAACTGTAACACTTGTTTTTTGCTGCTCTTTGCTTTTGTTGCTTTGCAGGATGTTAGGATTCCTTTGAAGAGTTGTGTAGATCAGAGTGATGGGAGTGTCATTTTATAGTTTTCTGGACAGAATTTGTTTTTTTTTTTCCCTCGTTTCATTGTTATTAGATGTATTACTACGTCGACTATTAAAAATATTCAGAATTTTCCCATAAGTAAAACGGTCTCTTAAAACTTTAACAACCGCATTGATTGAGTTGGACAATTCCCTACACTGTCCATCCACTAGATTTCAAAAGCCGCACATGACATGAAAAACAACCAGCTATAATAGATGACATGAAAAATTAACAACGCCACCACGTATAATTTTCTTGACATCATGATTACTGACTCAAAACGCATAAAATCTTCACTTTCTTATACCTTATTATATCTTTAAGGCCCAAAAATTGATATTAAACGAATCAGATAGAAGAGCTATTCTGTTCATCTCCAAGTCTACGTTGGAAAATATTTCTCAGACAAATGGAATTATGGTCAGGGCCACAGGATACTTGCGGGCAAAATATATTTCATCTTTTTTATCAGTTAACTACTCAGAATAACACTTGCGGTGATTAGTAATCTGCGAGAGAGCTACAGACAATGCACATTGCACATAACAGACCTAATCTCTAGGCGACTATATAACAAAATTTCCCTCTTAAACAATAATATAATAAAAAATAAGGTAAGAAACTAATCTTTGCCCAAACTGCCATCGTGTTATCCCTCTCTTATAATTTGGGTGATGTTCATCTCGGTTATCTTCAACCTGTAGCTTTTCAGGGTTCCTGAGAAGGAAAAACTGTCACTTGCTTCAGTGCCAGCCAACATCACTCCAACAAAGTCCTCAAACACCAGATGAAGGCAACCTAAGAGCCAGCAGAGTTTGCATGCACACCATGATGGCTTTATGAATCTGAATGGCTCCCAGATGTCTCTCCCACCTGCATCTTCGGTTCACCTCTTTTCACTCTTTGATAGAACAATACATAAGCAGCAGAAGTCTTAATTTCAGTCTCATTAATTGGGGATACGTGACTGTCATCAAAGTGGTACCATCTATTCTCATCAATCAGCTGCAAGAATGTCAAAAGGAACACGGATGAGGAAGTCAATTTTGGTAAGAGAACCACGCTGGAAGAAGGCTAAGGTTCAATTGGGTGGAACTCTCACTCCATGCCTAATTAATAGATTCTCCTCTTAATTTTTTTATTTTTCTTAGAATGTACCTATAACATCATTTTTTTCATCTTCGAGTTACCAGCACCCACTTTAATTCTCTGAACTGGGCCAGGGAACTCAAGCCCACAAATCAAACATCAACAGGTAAGCACATTTAAGAACGTTACCTTGGCATATGCGGTGTAGTGACCACCACCTAGGCCACCATAATGGTTGCTGATGGCGTACAGCTCATACACATAAGACTGCCCATCCTTGTTTTTCACATACTTGCTCAAGTCAAGATTGTGGATCGGGAAATTGACAAAGGTGTCAATTTTGTTTTTAAGGTATCTACTATATGTGAACCGTTTCAAGTGAAAAACAAGAATATCTGGCAACATCCACAAGTCTAGCTTCTTGTTGGCTTGCCTATGTTTTTTGCAACTAGGGCAGTACCTACATTGAAAACAAAAGTTAGTCTATAACACGAGGTTTGAGATTATTAACAAATTACTAACATTATTATCTGCAAAACATAAAATAGCAGTTAGAAGTCACTCTACCACATGTCATCAGGCCCTAGCGGTTCTTCCATTAAGAATGCTTCTAAGCACGAAAATAACGAGATTGCTTCCTGCCGCGTTTTCTTCACAGTGAACCCTGCTTTGTGAACCTCCGGAAGGTCCTTCAGATAGCTGCCATCATACAATTCATTTTCTTTGTCAGTCCACTCCACCAAAACCCTACAAACTTGCCCATGTTTTATAAGAGAATCCTTCTCAATTTGCTTATAGTTCAACAGCTTCTCATCAGTCAAAAATAGCTGGAAGGATAGCTCCTGGCTAGATGTGTTCTCTTCTGAATTCACAAATGAGCAACTGTTTAATTGTTCGTCAATAGGGTCTGAAACAAAGCCATTTTCTTTGCCTCTGTGAGCATTAGCTGAAGAATAGGTTCTTGTCAAAGGTGACAGGATTCTGGAAACAGTTGTATCAATATCAGCTCCACTTAGTGGGTTTTCACTAGTATAAGTTACCAGGGGCGTTCCAAAGAGCTTCTTGTCTCCACCCTTAAGATAATCTGATGCAGATCTGTGAAAATCAACACTTAAGAAAATTAAGCAAAAAATGTAAAAGGAGAATAAAAATGATGTTAAAAAGCAGTTTTCTGAAACAGCTAGGAAGGAAACAATACTCACTTTTCCTGCCATCCATGATAAATTTCTACTTTAACTTTTCCCACTACTTTTCTATGGAATCTGTAGGCCACTATATGCTCATCATCTTTTATTGAATTCAATGGTTCCACTGGATTTTCCAAGTATCGATAAATACGGTGGTCATAGATCTGATAATAAAAATCATGATTCTTTAGCAGCTAAAAAATTTATGAGAAGAATATTCAAATCAGATGAAAAGAGTAGCAAATGCATGTACCTCCGCGAGTAAAAGGGTTTCATCACTGTTCAAGCAGCATGCAGTACCTAATGCCAAGATAAGATCCTTACATAAACCGTGTTTTGGTACTGTGACAGTGTATGGCATTGGCAGATGGCTGCCGTCCCCATAAAACACAGTCACTGTCATTGACCGAGTGACCATTGAAGGTAGTGGCAGCGATAGATACATGAAGGGGTCAAAGGTGATCGAAATTTTGTCGCAAACAGGGCAGACAAGTGTAGATTTGTATTGACCCTGACCATATTAATAAACATATTAAATTCCTTAAAAGCAAACACAAGTGAACGTTCAAGACAAGCACAGAACTTTAACAACTTTTTCTCTTATGAATTATTGCAAGACATGCTTGAAATAATTTTGCCAGTATATATTTGCCAACGAACACTATTTATATGATTGCTCACAAACACAGCAAAGTCTAGATGCAATCAATTTGCCCATATAATGAGGATCTGTTCTTCCTCAACAAAGATGCCGCACAACAACATAACCATAACATGCAACTTTCTCAGACAAAAAATTGAAACATGAAACAGTTGCTTACTTGGCAAACATCCACAATTAATGAATCATTTCGAGCCTTGTGATTTTTCCAACATTCATCAGCAACTTCCTCATCTGGACGACCATCTGAATCCTTCGTTTCAATATAAGGCTTTTGCTTGACCCGATTCAAATCTTCGTGCAGTCCATCCAATAAGAAAGCAAGAAGTTCCTACAAGGAAAATAATTATCATACTTTCGAGGCCACATCAATAGTGAGAACAAGAGCATCCCCAGCATGCAACAAAAAGAGTAGTAAAGAATCAGTAATAAAATCTCAAATCGCATTTAAACATACCTACCAAGATATGTGTTATCAGACCATTATTGAAACCATAACAATGTCTGACACACAAAACCAAAATACATACGGTGTAATCCAATTATTATTACAAATAAAGAACATGAGATCAACAGTTATCAAGGAATGAGAAAAGATCTGTGCATGAAATAACAATATGCTTTAAAGTCATATTACAGTGATAATCCATCATTCCTTCTATCCCAGACAGGCAGGAAAGATTTTAGAGAACCATAACAATGAACATATAACTTAAAATTCCATACCGTCACTTGAAACCTGTTCCTTGCACCATTCATTAATTTCTCCCCCACTAAATTCTGGAGAAAAAAAAAAGGACATGCAAGGGAAGCAGAGTCACACGCTTACTTGAGAATCATGTTGATTATAACCACTAAATTGAGGAGCGAATCGGGCAAGTTTTCCCTTAAAGACACGTGGTGCAATCGCCGTTCGACCTGAGGACCATAATTTCCTCAACAACTCACCAAATGCAAGTGCAAGCTCACCCTGTACAGCTATGTGTTAGAAATTTATGTCAAATGCTTGGGAAAAAATCTCATATGTATAGAGGAAAGGAGAAATGGAATTTATTTTCAACTGCTTACATGCATTCCCAAAGGATTATCCGTGTTGATTTCATCACTATAATCCTGCAAGAAATATTCAACAATAGGAGGCGTGTGGACCAAACACTGAAGAGCACTATTCATAAAGCAAGTATTCCCCAAATTCTGCAATCCAGCCAAACCCCCCCTATCCCCTTTTCTAGTTGAGCCATAAGCATTATATCCCTCATCCACATCTATGAATGTTGACCCTGCAGTGCTTCCCCGATAAACATTAAACTTTGAACTTGTTGAGTGTCCATTTGACATGGATGGGCCCCCAGCAATTGAAAGAGATGACCTTGCAGGCTCTAAAGGTACCAGAGCTAATTCATTTCCAGTTGAATCAGTACCAAAAAGAGGACTATCAACTTCAAGAAGAATCTGCAAAGAATGGGAATCATCAACCCTTTGGGCAAATCAAACGGACTGTAAAAACATGGACACCACAGAAATTTAAAGTCCTCCTTATCTTCTCTATGGAAATCAATTTTTCCATTTAGTAATTTAAAACAAATGTCATATGTGTATATACATATATATTTAAAGCACCAGAGTAGGCATGCAATAAAAATGGATGTCCAAAGTAGGAAAAGATGAAAGATGTCCTCATGTCCAAAATAAGGATACAAAATTTCTACATAATGTTTAAATGCATCTAGGTTCCTAAAAAGGTTTTACATATGTTTTTAACAATACATTTCTACTTAAATAACAATAACATGAGATATAGACCATATAAATGAGATGGTGTATGACAAAAGGTTAAGCTTGCAATATTGCTGCATGCATTATCCAACATTATAATATTGTTCTGTGTGCAGTAATGTCTCAAAATGATTCAAGAAAGTTCGGAAAAGTTCAAGAAACCAGAAAATGAAGAGTTCATATTGCATATTTGCGTAGGAAACGTTCATCAAAAGATACGAGAATTTTCAAGTCTCATAATCTAAAAGATAGTGACTAATATGGGATTAACCAGACTGAAGCTATTTGAATGAACAACAACGTGCTCAAGAATCACTCAAATACATGATAGTACAAATTACAGTATTCCAAATGTCGGGCCCCTGCCTTCTCCCCCAACCTCACAAAGGGTCCAGGAAGAAAAAAACATAAAAAAACATTATGAAATATTACTGACTTGTACAAGTTCCTCACAAAAAAGATATGTTGCCAAATAGGCCTAATACTCACATGTTGATCCATCTGCAGGTTTGAATCTTCAAGACAATGTTGTGAAGCAGCCAATAGTAAGTTTTTCCTCTTATTGAAGTAGTCCCAAAGGTGAACCTGTTAATACGTATAACCAATAAACAAAGAAAAATTGAAATTTACAGCAACCAAGACCAAAAGAAAAAATGAATCAGTATATCTCTATACACACATAAAGAAAGGGTAAAGAACTCTGTGCACACCTTTTCTTGTTGTATTCCTTTTAGTGTACAAACCTTCTCATAAAGCTCCCTTATAGAAGCCTGAATTAAAACCCCCATCCCCAGGGCAAAAGCAAATAGTTAGTACTTAGCCTAATATTGCCTAGTTCTTGGTAAATTGCTGTTCAAGCTGCTTTTAGTGAGGAATGCTC